GAGGGACAGACAGACAGAGCGGCTCCTAAATCACCTGGACATGGAACAGGAGGAAGGGACAGACAGACAGAGAAGCTCCTAAATCACGCGGACATGGAAGAGAGAGATAAAGGGAAGGATTGGAATAAGGGGATAGAGGGATAATGGAGAGGGCCCAATGGAACACAATGGGAAACGGCACTGCAGACAGAGAGGGAAATCAACAGCGCCTAAATCACCTGGATAAGACGTGAGAAGGACGGAACAACAGAGAGAGCACCTCCTAAATCACCTGGACAGAGACCAGGAGAGGCGGAGAGACAGACAGACAGAGCGGCTCCTAAATCACCTGGACAGAGACCAGGAGGGACAAACAGAGCAGCTCCTAAATCACCTGGACAATAGGCATGAAGGACAGACAAAGAAGCTCCTAAATCACCTGGACAAGAGGCAGGAAGGACAGACAGAGCAGCTCCTAAATCACATGGACAGGGACCAGGAGGGACAGACAGAGCAGCTCCTAAATCACCTGGACAAGATGGAGGAAGGATGGAGGGACAGACAGAGCAGCTCCTAAACCACCTGGTCAAAACCAGGAGGGACGGAGGGACAGACAGACACAGCGGCTCCTAAATCACCTGGACAGAGACCAGGAGGGACTGACAGACACAGCAGCTCCCAAGTCACCTGGACATAGTCGGGAAGGGACGGACAGACAGAGCAGCTCCTAAGTCACCTGGACATAGTCGGGAAGGGACAGACAGACAGAGCAGCTCCTAAGCCACCTGGACAGAGACCAGGAGGGACGGACAGAGAGACAGAACAGCCCCTAAATCACTTGGACAAGACCCAGGAGGGACGGAGGGACAGACAGACAGAGCGGCTCCTAAATCACCTGGACAGAGTTGGGAAGGGACAGACAGACAGACAGAGCAGCTCCTAAATCACCTGGACAAGACTCGGGAAGGAACAGAGGGACAGACAGACAGAGCGGCTCCTAAATCACCTGGACAGAAACCAGGAGGGACAGACAGAGCAGCTCCTAAATCACCTGGACAGAGACCAGGAGGGACAGACAGAGCGGCTCCTAATTCACCTGGACAGAAACTTGGAGGGACGGAGGAACAGACAGAGCAGCGCCTAAAACACCTGGACAGAGACCAGGAGGGACGGAGGGACAGACAGACAGAGCAGCTCATAAATCACCTGGGCAGAAACCAGGAAGGACAGACAGACAGAGCAGCTCCAAAATCACCTAGACAAGACTCAGGAAGGGACGGATGGAGAGACAGAGCAGCTCCTAAATCACCTGGAGAAGACTCAGGAAGGGACGGACAGACAGAGCAGCTCCTACATCACCTGGACAAGACACGGGAAGGGATGGAGGGACAGACAGACAGAGCGGCTCCTAAATCACCGGGACAAGACTCAGGAAGGGACAGACAGACAGAGCGGCTCCTAAATCACCTGGACAGAATCCAGGAGGGACGGACAGACAGACAGAGCGGCTCCTAAATCACCTGCTCAAAGACCAGGAGGGACGAAGGGACAGACAGACAAAGCAGATCCTAAATCACCTGGACAAGACCCAGGAGGGACGGAGGGACAGACAGACAAAGCAGCTCCTAAATCACCTGGACAGGGACCAGGAGGGACCGAGGGACAGACAGACAGAG